CACCTATATGGTACTGACAGAGTTGATTTAGCGCCTCCCCTCAACAAATTAAACTTAATTAATTTCTCTCTATTATTTCCACTCCAGTGGTGTTCTGTGCTTGGACACAGAAACGTTAGCCTGCCTCTTCTCCCCAAACGTATTTCAATAGGAAGGCACTTGAGCCTTTATACCCAGCTTGCCTTCTAGTGCCTCCATTTCAAGGCTGACTGCATCTCTGTAGGATTCTTCCAGTGTTGACATATCCTGTGCCCCAAGTCATTCAGATCATTCATGGGCATGTGGATTTGTTTCTGAGGGTTAAAACCGCAAAACCTTTAACTCTCCAAGGGTTGGCCACAATAACTTTAGCTCTTAAAACCCACTCAGCTTTCATAATGGAGTAAGAAGTTTTGAAGATCTTGTCGCCGTGTGGTTGGAGTGTTTAGTGACGGAAGTAATGGTAATCTCTTGAATTAAGGCGATGAAGCTTGTCGACAGAACACATTCTCTAATGACCAATGGCGTTTCTTTCTAAACATTCTCAAGTGGAGATAACATGTTTCAGAGCCCACATCTTGACGCCTTTATAAACTAATCTTTAGCGTCTTGAGGTGTTCTTTGTCATGACACGCTTCTTTGAATAATCAACAAGATAATGATACAGTTATTGTTGCTTGCACCTCATTTGAAGGTTGTCGCAAAAGAGTCACAGCATGTGTTGGGTGTTTGTGATTTTATTAGGAAATTTTGCATTCAGCAGTTTTAAAATGCCATTAAACTATTGACCCCCATACCATGTTTAGTTTTTCTCTATGTTTCTTCTTTATAAAGATGTAGTGATTGGACAACAGAGTTTAATATTTTAAGTGCAGCATTAAAATAATAATACAACCGAACGTTTCCGCCTAAATGTTTGTCCCAGTTTGTGTTGTATTCAGTACTCAGTGAGTACATAGTTTGGTAGACCAATCGGCACTTGATGGCTGATGTGGCCTACATCAGTCCGGCTGCCTTTATTTTCATGGACACTACCTGGTACCGCTTTAAGACTGTACTTTTCTCGACGATGCTATATTTGTTTCCTTCAACACCACCTCTCCGCTGCGAGCATGTTTTTTTTATTTTTTCACCTTGTCTGCTTACTGCCCATTGTCAAACTTCAGTGCGGTCCAGGTATCTATCACATACATTGTATATCTCTGTAATCTATTACTACTTTGTCTCAATCGTATGCATGCTATTTTAATATAATGTTGTGTTTTGTTTCTTGTCGTTTTATTGATGAAGGTTAATCGTCACAACATCCTCTTTGTTTGCGTAGCGTAACTAGTTCTGTTGAGCTGACACATACATTCTGTTTTTCTAACTCTTGTCTATCTCTTCTCTTGCATACATTTTCCAATCTTTTGCTAAAAACTTAATTAATGTTATAACATAGTTTCATCTGAGTACTTAACACTCATTTTGAAAATACGCTATGAGGCAAGGTTTATACTTTGATGTAAAGATTAGGAAAGCAAAGAAACCCAAGCGGCCACAAAGCTTGCCTATAGACCAAGTGTTTACGGGTTCGGCTAAGTGATAGACAGAGATTATATTTATTTTATTCACATTCTAGTTTTCCCCAAGTACAATTCGATACAAGGACATATTCTGGGAAGTATAGGCGACCTGCCCACTTAGGACATCTAGGTACGGTTATTATAAAACTATAGGGTTATAACCACGTATTCATTACTTACACTGTTTTATTTCTAAAATAAAAGGTGCTTGTACTTACAATGAAGTGTCTAAAACAAACGTACCGGTACTTACCACAAAGTGTCTAAAAAAAACGTACCGGTTCTTACCACAAAGTGCTGAAAAAAATGATGACTAGAAATGTCTCGTTGTTTTTTCTTCTTCTTTCTTCTTTTGTCAAAATCTGCTTGTGCCGCTAGGCGTCGCAGTCTATCAGATGATCGGCAAACGAGCCAGGGCGCGCTCAGTCGCTTCATATGCCGTGATGTTATGAAGTCTCAAGTTGTCCGTGACTCCTTCAATCCATATTCTTCTTGGTCTTCCCCTGCCTCTTGGTGTTTCGATTTTCATGTTGTATGCTCTTGATGCTGGTATCGTTGGTTCCATTCTTATTAGGTGACCAAACCATTTCATTCTTTGCCTCTCAATACATTTAACGATGGGTATGGTTCCAATAGTTCTTGTAATCACATCGTTTCTCACTCGATCTCTTCTGGTTTTATTCGCAGCCATTCTCAAATATCTCATTTCACAGGTGGTTAGTCTTCTCTCGTGTTCTTTTGTTAATGTCCAAGTCTGACATTGATAACCTAATGTCGGTATAAAGATTGTATTTATAATTTGTCTTTTTATCTCAGCTGGGACAGCAGGGTGTTTTAAAATTGGGGCAAGCTGGTATGAGACATTGTTGGCTTGTTGGATTCTTGCTTCGATCTCTCTGTCTATTTTACCATTGGATGTAAAGATACTTCCCAAGTATTTAAATTCTTGCACTTGTTTTAGGCTGTGATCTAGAATCTTTATGTCGATGGTCTGTTGCTCTCTACTTATGCTCATGACTTCTGTCTTTTCAGTATTGATCTCCATATGATCGTTGTTTTTTAACATGTCCAAAAGAGGTGCTGCTGTGTTCCGTTGTGTGCCGTCAGAAAATTATGCCTTACGTAGCAGAAAGGCTGTTTTCCGTTCTGCGTAAGTCATTTAAAGGACCCTTTTCCAATTCTTCAGATGTATTGGCCATAAAGGGCTAGGCCTATATTTATAGCGGACTTTTTTTCTTTCAAAAATGACCTTGGCTCCCAGGTCGACCCAGCCTTGAGTGGGTACCGGGTGCAGTCCTGGGAAGTAAAGGCGGTCGGCGTGATGCTGACCACATGACCCATCTTGTGCCGATTGGTCTATAAAAATAAAGATCTAGCCCTATGTGCCCTATACGTCTAAAGGCGTGGAAAAGAGTCCTTACTTTTACTTATTTACTATATTTATAGAACAATCAGTACTTGGTGGGTGATGCGGTCAGCAGCACACCAGCGTAAATCATATATATATATATATATATATATGGGTTAGTTGCGTATCCTTTGCAGGACGTTGCAGAACCAACCCTAACAGCCCCTGGCTGTTGTGTGGTTTTTCAAGGCAAATTTACGTTTTGTAGTTTGCCATTGCTTCCTGGACGGTCGGCTTTCTTGATACCACTGTCGAAACCAACGCAAGGCCCATGTCTCGCAGCTGGGATCGAAACCGGCATTCCGGCATTACGAAGCGTTTCGCATCGACTTAGCCACAAAGCCAATATATATATATATATATATATATATATATATATATATATATATATATATATATATATATTATATAAATATATATATATATATATATATATATATATATATATATATATATATATATATATATATATATATATATATATATATATATATATATATATATATATATATATATATATATATATATATATATATATATATATATATACACATATATACTGATATGTACACACAGACATATATATAAAGAGTAACATCTAGTTTCATTGTCAAATTATAACTTAATTATTTGTCATTTTTTTATCACGATATCCTTCTCAAAAGGAATGTTTGGTCCTTTAATCATAGGGTTTCTTCTCCCTGTCTCTACACTGCATTCACTGTTAGTTTAAAAGCGTTTTGTCTGAGAGGCGTCTGGTCTCAATAGATGCGCGCCTGTCTTAATGTTCAGGTCGGTTACTTCCGTGAACCGAGCTGTTCATCAAATGCCTAACTTTGTTCCTTGGTCCGCTTAGCCTTTTAAGCTGATTCAGTCTGGGGTACCCTTCCCACTTCTATGAATGACATGGGCGGGTTCTCGCTGATCTTTAACCCTCTGTGTTAGCTTAACGGACAGATGGTCCAACAATTGTTGATGCTCCGGCCACATGCCAACCACACACTGGGCATGTTATTCGGGTGACCAGTTCTACTATTGGCTGGCCTAGCGGTATCGACGTCAGCTCTCTTGCGGGAGACCTGGGTTCGACTCCCGTAAGGAGTTGGTGTTTTTCTGTCGATGGCAAAAAAAAAAAAAAATAAACAGTCTAACCTGCACAGTCCGTGCTATGCAGCCCTAACTCATCTGACTCACGACCCTCTGTCTACACAATCCTTAAAAGTGGTACATACATACAGAAGTGACGTTTTACTGTCATCATCATGTTGTAGGCATTCGGCAGAACTTCACCCTCGTCATCATTAATCAGGTGCTGTCTCCGATCTGAGAACTGGCTGCAATAGATCTCTTACACTCTCCATCTCTAATCTTGCTTGAACACTCCCTCAGACTACTGTTCGTCCATCTCTTGATATTGCCCTTCACTTATAACATTGTCTACCTGTTGCTCTCTTTGCCTCGACTTTTGCCCCCATTAGGGCTTTTGAAAGCCTATTATATTTGTTTGTAATGTGGTCAAAGTATTTCAGTTGACTTTAAAAATAAAATTATAGTAATGCTCTTTTACTTTGAAGTCTTTATCACCGGTGATGCAAATATTTCCAACCCTTTTTTTGATTCCCTGACTCGCGCATTATCATGTTAAATGTATCTTCAGAATTGTATGTCTATTTTTTCTTCACTTTATTCGATATTATCTTAGCAGTCACCTGCGCATATTTTCCTTTTGTTATTTAATTAGTTATCAATCCTGCGAAGCCGAAGTGTATCTGCTTCAGAGAAGAGGAACCAACAGTTTGCACAAATCAGCCACATTTGTAAAATTGCCGTGCAAAACTCATGTTTTAGAACAAGACAACATTTCAGAAGTGGACGAGTATTCAGAACTAGCCAGAGTTTACAGTAGCCGAATGCTAAGAAAACGTAAAGAAGGATGCTCATACAAATTGTTGGAACTCATTGCAGTTTAATATCGAACGATTTCAGTTATTTGATGATGTAATTTGTTGACGATTCAAACAATTGTGTATTTTTTTGTTTTTTTGCAGTCCCACATCAGACATATCCACACCCTGACAAACCACAAGATGCCACATTGATATCGGGCAAAAAGTCCAAGAAACGGCGTCGACACAGGTAAATAATTGTTTTTCTGTTTGCATCCTTATAACTGTTTTCAAATATTGGAAAAAAAAAGTTATCACTCGAGGTCTTTTACTGTCTCTGTGTCTACACACACACACACACACACACACACACACACACACACACACACATATACACATACACATACACACACATTCCTATATATTTAGAGAGAGAGTGAGAGAGAGAGAAAGATAGAGAGAGTATGTATCAATAGATGTGTATATGTATATAGATATATTTATGTGAACATTCAAAGTAGTTGGGGAAAGTCGTTGTGGTCCAGCAGCTGACCACATCACCCACAAAGTGCCGTTTGGTCTATAAAATATAGGTCTAGCCCTATATGCCTAACACCTCTGAGGGCATGGAAAAGGGCGGTTAACTCTACTTGACTTACTTCGGCGCCTAATCTTTGCTGACTCACATGAACGAATTTGAATACCTTGGACGTATATTTTCTGAGGACAGCAAAATAGTTCGAGATTTAGAATCATAGAAGCAATACTTTCTTTTTTTTTTTTTTTTTTTTTTTTTTTTTAGAGATTTTCAGGTTTAATTTAGACAAATGAGTGTGGTCTCGAGACACTGTGTCCGCCTCGAATGCTAGAGGTTCTGGGTTCAATCCCCGGCAGGGATGCGAATTTTTCACGTGGACTTTGACTTCTAGTCATCCCCCCCCCCCCATCCGGTCTCTGGGTAGTAAGATCGGAAGCACGTGTGCATTGATGCACAAGTAAAAAGTTCCAGGCTAATACTTGTACTAGTATACATATAACTGCTATTAGTAACGCGCAATGACGGTTGCGTAATAGTCAGACGCTCGTATGCCGGTCCCAAAGTTTCGGATTTCAAATCCAAACAAGTATGCTGTAACAATGAAAAATATGTTTTCTCTTAGGGTCGAAACAGTCCATCACATAATCGGCAATGCCTAGGGAAGTAAAAGCGGCCATTATGATGTTGGTTCCATAGTCTAAAACAGAAGAAGAAGAAAAAGAAGAGGAAGAAGAAGAAGATGGTCTGTTTTGTTTATTAAATATGTTGTTTTAAATAGATTCCCCGAAAGTAGTGATGAAATTCTTCTAATGTGATCAAAAAGTAAGGAATAAAATACTTGTTATTTCAAAGCAAAACATGTCACACTTTATTGCCAGACATATATCTCTATATCTTGTCAGGCCTTACTGCATTTATGAAATATATACTAGCAGAAAAAGACTTGAATATTCTTTTAAATGTATTGTTTGTGTATACATTATTCAAATTCACAGCTGGTACTTTTTATTTTAAACTTTTTTTTTCTTTCCCCGAAAAAAACAAAACAAAACAACAACACAATTCCTACAAACTCTGATCAAAACGACAAGCATACAAATAGTCGCCCACACTTTTGAAGAATCAAAATAAAACAAAAGCACAGCACCAGTCACGCGGAACGCAAATTCCCGCCTTTCTAAAATATTATTCAAAACATTTATTTCGTTTTAAAATTGACAATTATTTCCTTAACTTCTCCCGTTCACATTTTCTTTTGTCCTGTGGCCATCTTTGCCATGACGCCTCCATGTTGGAGTTTTTACTCCCTACCAGCCTCCAACCATTAGCCATCTTGTTATGTCTCGCTCACGCAACGATCATGGCCGCGCGTGCACGTGCATACAACCTTCTAGAGCATGCTAGGGACCAGATATGTTGCCCCGTTTTTGCCCAAATTAGGTAAAGAATTGGCCCAATTAGAGTCTAGATTTTTCAGAAGGGAGGGTGCCTAATTAGTGCGTTAGCAGAGATTTGAAGTGTCATTGGTTTAGGGTGTCTTCAAATTAAAAGACGGCAACGAATTAATTAGTTTGACAGTTGGAAAAGTTACGTATAGCTCAGGAGATTTGTCGCGTCCTGTGCGAGCTTGGTTCATGTAGTTTTTCATAATATATGTGCTGCTCGTATGCATATGATTGTGCTGACATATACATAACATATTGTATTGCTAGATGTATATCTGTGTAGATCTTCATTAGATGATGAATAGTTGATTGTCAAGAGACAATGTACATTCTTCGGTCATGTGATGAGAAGGAGAAAACTGGAGTACATCGTAGTGGTAAGAAAGTTGGACAGGAGGAGAGACAGAGGGAGACCAAGAGAACGAACGAACGAACGAACGAACTTTATTTTCAAAGGGTTACAAATTAGGCACGCTGGCCTGTCTTACATTCGACCCTTCCAAATTCCCATCTTCACACAGCAGTTGCATTTTATCAATAAAGCATGCTATGTTCATGTAATAATATGCATATTATGAATATCAAGTCAAAAACAAAAGCATGGGTGGTAAAATATGTGCGCACACTCGCACGCGAACACGCACGCGAACACACACACACCCATACACACACGTAAATCGATTCACTCACTCACACACACACACATAGGCACCCAGTACACACACATCCACATACATAACAACATGCACACACATACACACACACAAACACACACACACACAAACACACACATACATACATACATACATACATACATACATACATACATACATACATACATACATACATACATACATACATACATACATACATACATACATACATACATACATACATACATACATACATACATACATACATACATACATACATACATACATACATACATACATACATACATACATACATACATACATACATACATACATACATACATACATACATACATACATACATACATACATACATACATACATACATACATACATACATACATACATACATACATACATACATACATACATACATACACTCGTATACACAGTCACCCACACAGACATGCGCTCTAAAACACACACGCATGCAACCCAGACACATATAGACACACATAGCTATATATATACACACACACACACTTACATACATACACACATACATACACACAGCGAGAGAACAGATGCTGGACAGTTCGACATCATGGCAAAGAAGAAGATCCTCTGTGTCAGAGTTGACTGAACGTACACGAGACAGAAGATTTTGGGTGGACATGGCTACCAACTCCACACGGCATAGACTCTAAGAAGAAGAATACCTCACATAAGAGAAGGTCCATTAATGCAGTAACATACATACATACATACATACATACATACATACATACATACATACATACATACATACATACATACATACATACATACATACATACATACATACATACATACATACATACATACATACATACATACATACATACATACATACATACATACATACATACATACATACATACATACATACATACATACATACATACATACATACATACATACACACACACACACACACACACACACACACACACACACACACACACACACACACACACATACATACATACATACATACATACATACATACATACATACATACATACATACATACATACATACATACATACATACATACATACATACATACATACATACATACATACATACATACATACATACATACATACATACATACATACATACATACATACATACATACATACATACATACATACATACATACATACATACATACATACATACATACATACATACATACATACATACATACATACATACATACATACATACATACATACATACATACATACATACATACATACATACATACATACATACATACATACATACATACATACATACATACATACATACATACATACATACATACATACATACATACATACATACATACATACATACATACATACATACATACATACATACATACATACATACATACATACATACATACATACATACATACATACATACATACATACATACATACATACATACATACATACATACATACATACATACATACATACATACATACATACATACATACATACATACATACATACATACATACATACATACATACATACATACATACATACATACATACATACATACATACATACATACATACATACATACATACATACATACATACATACATACATACATACATACATACATACATACATACATACATACATACATACATACATACATACATACATACATACATACATACATACATACATACATACATACATACATACATACATACATACATACATACATACATACATACATACATACATACATACATACATACATACATACATACATACATACATACATACATACATACATACATACATACACTCGTATACACAGTCACCCACACAGACATGCGCTCTAAAACACACACGCATACAACCCAGACACATATAGACACACATAGCTATATATATACACACACACACACTTACATACATACACACATACATACACACAGCGAGAGAACAGATGCTGGACAGTTCGACATCATGGCAAAGAAGAAGATCCTCCGTGTCACAGTTGACTGAAAGTACACGAGACAGAAGATTTTGGGTGGACATGGCTACCAACTCCACACGGCATAGACTCTAAGAAGAAGAATACCTCACATAAGAGAAGGTCCATTAATGCAGTAAACACACTGATAGCATATGATGATCTATTGTTTTTAATGCCTAATCAGCACACATTGAAGGTTGTAAACAGTTTCATGCAGGCCGCTTTAGAAAGGAACATCCCTATAATATCGCTAATGTATATTTCATTATAAGTAAAGAAAGTAAGAGGGACAGGAGTGGCAGACAAAGAGAGACCGTAAACATAATTTGGCTGAACGGTAAGACCTCACATTTGCAAACGTCAAGTCCATTGCATCTCATCGACATAGGTGTAAGGATCTGATCAGAGAGCCAAAACTATCTGACGACCCAACGACACGAGATGTTATTGAACTATGTTGATGATGAAGTAAATATAATCTATGAACATCAACGTCTTAGGTATATTGTATTATAATCAGTTCCAAAAGTTGTGCACAACTTTATAAATTTGTAACCCACTAACTCTTTGATAAAAATGGATGCAATTTTGCATGCAACCTGTTAAAAATCAAGTCAGTGTAGAAAAATGACTATAATGTAAACAAACACCTATATGTTTTATTTTGCAATATGTGCAGTATGTGAAAAAAAAGGCACAGATTCCAAGCCTCAGCGTTAATGTTGTCACGATTGTTTTTGTCAAGCTAACGTCACATTTTCCGCATAGTCAGTATTTCTTTTATTGTATACCCATCGTAGGATTGGGTGCCACCGTAGCCGTTTAATCCGAAGGTGTGGAGTTTAGATCCCCAGTGAGGTGACGTAGTTATTTTAAAACTGATCTTGGCTTCCAGGTTGACTCAGCTTAAAATGGTATCATGAAAATATATCAAACCAAACGAAAAGCAGATCAGCAAAAACCGTTTCGGCTATAAAGACTTCATCACCAAATTACATAAGTCATCACATTCATGTGTTGACAAGAAAGCACAGAATCACATAGCTGACGTATTACTGATAGCAGTCATATTGTGGACCGGCCAATGCCTAAAATCGATACCAGGTAGTAAAGCGGGAAGTGTGAAGCTGACGGCATTACCCATCAACAAATGATTGGTCTATACAGACATAGGTCTAGCAATACATATCTGGGTTCTTTATTATTATCCTAAACCCAAATGAACGTCACAGGAGAGTCCAACATTTTGGAAGGTGGTAGACTGGGTTTCCCGGCTTTCTGATGCTTTTAACGACCCAAAAACATCTAAAACTGGCCCTAATCCCAACACACCTTCATAACATGAGAAAGTGCATCCTAAGTCCCACAAATGCATGCATCCTAGGTCCCACGACTACATGCAGCCTATCTACCATCCCCTGAAATATTATACTGTCCCGTGACCTGTGCATTTCTCATGTTTGGGGTAGAATATTAATAAAGCACCCATGTCTGATATGTAAAATGCATGAAACGGTTTCTTTACTTACTGTACTAATGTTGTAGGAATGCTGGTGTTAGTTAAACAATCATATCCTTAATCGCTCTCTCTCTCTGCAGGACCATCTTTACCAGTTTCCAACTTGAGGAGCTCGAAAAGGCCTTCAGAGATGCTCACTATCCAGACCTTTACGCTCGCGAGCTCCTGGCGCTCAAGATCGACCTGCCTGAAGACAGAATACAGGTTTGTGCTTTCATGTTTAGTAGGCCTTTGACTTGTAGCTAAATTTTTTTTTTTTTTTTAAATAAATTTAAAGAAATTGTTTTACTAGACTGGTAATTTTAACTGAATAAAATTGTTGTTTTAGGCTTCCAATCTGGATTAAAAAAATGTAAAGAGATTGTTTTACTAAGCTTCTAGTCTGGATTTAATAAATGTAAAGAGATTGTTTTATTAGGCTTGTAGTCACGATTTAATAAATTTAAAGAGATTGTTTTATTAGGCTTCTAGTCTGGATTCAATAAATTTAAAGAGATTGTTTTATTAGGCTTGTAGTCTGGATTTAACCAATTTAAAGAGATTGCTTTATTTGTCTTCTAGTTTGGATTTAACATATTTAAAGAGATTCAACACAAAATCAACACACAAGCTTTGGGTTAAAAAAGACAGTAGTGACAGTTTAAAAAAAAATATTTTAACTAGAGGCTGATAGTTTGGATGTAATAAATTTATAGAAATTGTTTTACAACACTGTAGAAGTTTGGAAGTAATAAATTTAAAAAAAATTGTTTTACAACACGGTAGAAGTTTGGTTTTAACAAATGTAAAGACTACACGGTAGAAGTTAGGATGTAATAAATGTAAAAATAAAACTGTTTTACTATACGGTAGAAGTTTGGATGTAATAAATAAAAAAAAAATTGTTTTACTACACGGTAGAAGTTTGGATGTAATAAATTTATAGACATTTTTTACTACACGGTAGAAGTTTGGATGGAATAAATATAAAGAAATTGTTTTACTACACGGTAGAAGTGTGGATGTAATAAATTAAAAGAAATTGTTTCACTACATGGTAGAACTTTGGATGTAATAAATTAAAGGAAATTGTTTTACTACAAGGGAGAAGTTTGGATGTAATAAATTTAAAGAAACCGTTTTACTACACGGTAGAAATTTGGATGTGATGAATTAAAAGTAATTCTTTTACTACATGGTGGAAGTTTGGATGTAATAAATTTAAAGTAATTGTTTTACTACACGGTAGAAGTTTGAATGTAATAAATTTAAAGTAATTGTTTTACTATACGGTAGAAGTTTGGATGTAATAAATTTAATGAAATTGTTTTACTACACGGTAGAAGTCTGGATGTAATAAATTTAAAGAAATTGTTTTACTATACGGTAGAAGTCTGGATGTAATAAATTTAAGGAAATTGTTTTACTACACGGTAGAAGTCTGGATGTAATAAATTTAAAGAGATTGTTTTACTACACGGTAGAAGTCTGGATGTAATAAATTTAAGGCAATTGTTTTACTACAGACTGGTAGTTTTAAGTTCAATCTTCTTCTTTTTCATTCGACGGCTGTGAATTCCGGCAGATGATCTTGGTAGTTCGTCCATTTGGACTTTTGGCTTTTGCCTGAACCTGAATTTTTCGTGTACATCCTTTTTACTGGCTTATTTTAGAAACGTTATTTTAATACAGACTGACAGTTTAGAGATTATTTAAGTACAGACAATATTTTAAACCCTGCATCAATGTTCTCCTCTTTTTTATACAAAATAATACTACAAATGTCTTTGCTTTGGTACGTTGCCTCATATGCATAGGTAATATATGTCTTATATCTACGGCAAAAAACTCGATTACGTAACTTTATGCTGTTACAATAAACGTAATCATTCCTCTTCACAAAATGGAGAAAAATAACTGTCGAATGATTACATGTAATTGTTTTAAATCAATTTGTGTTTTTGTGTGTTTTTAACTATACACGCACACACACACACACACATACACACACACATACTCACATACACACACAAGCACACACATATATATTGTCTTTTTTGTTTATATAAATGTATTTGGTGTTCTATACCACTTTATACAAAAACTAAATTTCCACTGTTGTTATATTACATTATGTAGCTAAATTTCTCAACAGCTTTCAGTTAATAATTACCACATTACATTGTCGTCTATGTTTACCAACGATCTGCAGTGCGACTGGTTTACCTAACATTGCATTTTCCTTTTGATGCACATTGCCGTTTATTTCATTCAATTGTATTTTTTTCCTCACAAGAATTTGAAACTATATTTATTACAGAATGTTTTCCTATGTGGGTTACAGCGCCGCATTATGGAAAAAGAGGGTTTGGAGGTAGACTCAAATCCTCTGCAACAGTCATGTTGAAAATTGACTGATAAAGATGAATTGCATCTCCATCAAAAGAGAGGAACTGACATGCTGCATAAGTTGCCAGATCGCTAAACTAGATGTGGAAAGATATAATACTAAACGAAATGTAGATCAAAACAAGATGTGCTTGAAAAACTCAAGTTCCGAAATAATACTAGAGTCAAGAAGTGGACGAACAGCCAGAGCTTTCCGTCAAAGTTTACAACCAGTGAACGCAAAGAAGAAGCAGAACATTAACAAAACACGCCCGTGTTGGTTCCGGAGCCCTATTGTAGGGAAAACAATCCAAAAGCATGTCGTAGGAGTCGACTAATTTAGGAGCTTACTTCGAAGTCGGAGTGCATCTGCCTGAGAGGCATGGAACCAACAGTCTGCACACACATACGTCAGATCTGTCAAACGGATGCACACGTAACACTCAGGTTCTGGAACAGGACTGCAGTTCAGAAGTGGACGAACAACCAAAACTTTCCACCAGAGTTTACAGCTGGTGAACGCAAAGAAGAAGAAGAAGAAGATTAACAAAACATAACAGACATTGTTCAGTGTTTTCATCAATCTGCAATGACGTTGCATGTTTCACACTCGTTATGTCACTTTTCCTTACATGCCGATCCCTGTTCCATTCAATTCTGACAATTCACGCTACACAACGGACAACTTGCCCTACTGGAAGGCCCAGCACCATTATTTCCAGCATCAATTAATCTGGGATATCTTCTAGCTCTTCAGATGTTATCATTATTTTCTCTATTCATAATAAGCATCAAATTCTGTTGCAAATAAATGATGGTATAAATCAGGGGTTCTCATGTGTATTTGGCCTAACGTTCATTTGATAAAAACATTGTGCAGCGCCGTTCTCAATTCTTAAAATCTGAAAGAAGGCAGAATGGGTGAATTACTATATCTGCTAAAGCCCCCCCCCCCTCTCTCTCTCTCTCTCTCTCTCTCTCTCTCTCTCTCTCTCTCTCTCTCTCTCTCTCTCGCTCTCCTTATTAACGCCGCCAAGCTTAGAAACTATTCCACTAAACTAAAAAGTTTAACGAACAGGAGAAAGAGAACAACGTGCACAAAACAGGGAAATCAATCGACGTTTCGGCGGGGGCCTTTTTCAAGATGAACTTTAAATACAGTAAGAGAATGGAGGTTGAGCAGCAGCAGCAGCAGCAGCTTTCAGATGGCTTTAGAGCAGCATGGTCCGACACGTTGTAATTGTAATAGACTCACAGAGCATGTTTCGGAAAATTGAAATTGTTGTTTTGTTCGCAGAGTGGTTTGTATCTCTTGACAAAACACAGATCGAGATCTTATAATTGATTTTCTCTCGAGGATGTGTGCGAAGTAACAATCATGTTGATAGATCGGTTGCTGTAGCTCATCTGGACGATGAGCTACTTAATGATAAAGCGGATGTGGTGAGGGCTCCATGGGATCAAATGTACAATATACAAGAACAGATAAGGAATCCATACACTAAAAGACTAATTGAACAGGGGTGCACAGAGGTTCTGGAAGATACTCAGTTTTGAACAGAGGCTGACATTTAATCAGGTTTAAACAGGTGCTATTAGCATGTGAACTCTTTGTTAGTTTTTAAAGAGGGAGACGGAACAAGCGCGAGAATATCGCCAGTGCATTCGTTCGTTCGTTCGTTCGTTCATTCATCTATTCATTCATATAGCTCTAAAGAACATCTGAAAAAGACTGGGAAAAAAAAATAGGGAAGAGAAAAGATCGAAAGTTGGTAGAAAAACACAACGTAAATGTAAGTTTCACATTAACAACTTACACTGTGCAAAGAACGTCGTGGCGTTTAGCCAGTATCATCAGAACAAAGTCAAAAAGCAGAACAGAACACACACGCAAATTAATTGACTGAAATGACTTGATAAAGGTATTTAAATATCAAATGTCTAGTTTTAGAATGGAGGTAGAAGGAGTCACTGCTGCCTTCCGCTGGCTTGAGAATCAGTTCTATACACATGCCGTCAATGTAACTGACTCACAGAGCATGTTGAGAACGGTGGAGACAGGCAGGCTTCGTGCAGAGTGGCAAGCATCAATTCAGAGGTCCCGGGTAGTTAGCATCCTTTGGATATCTTCTCCAGAAATGCCGGTGTGTTGGGAAATGAGCAGGCAGATAGACTGGCCGGTTCTGCACCACATGGTGGTGAAGTGATGTTTGACAAGCTGGATGCTGTGAGGGTCCTTTGGGAACAAGTGAACAGTGTCGAGGAACTGATATATCATTACGGTCTGAGGAGAATGTCACTGCGAGTAGTTACAAGTGTATCTGGCCGCCCCTCGACACTTAGTGGAACATCGAGACGGATATACAATCAGACAGTTACTGGTACTTTCGGAATTTTTACTCTTCGCTTGCTGCTGAAGATGGGGGTCGGAGCGCTTATGGGGGTGTCCCGAGTGTTGTGATGTCGATCCCTAATTCAACATTCAACATTCAATGTCATGTAAACCAGTTAAACGGGGGGGGGGGGGGTATAAGGAAGCACTGGTATAATTCCTAGCAAAGTTGATTTATCTGATGCTCATAAATCGCGCCTTCAATTACGGTTTGTATTTTGTTAGCGTAATTCCCTATATCGGTAACATCTCTAGGATCTAATTATTTATGAGATATTGTGGCATAGTGTGAGTTTTCAATGGCTTATATTGTTTGCCATTAAAGGCGGCAGGCATGTCAAACTAATGCTAACTTATGTCCATCATTTATCTCTTTTTTGTTGCTGGATTGATTTAAGATGGCGTCTGTGTTTGAGATTTGAGATACGTGTCTGGTTATCTACAC